CAGAGCTCTTCACTTCCCCTCCCTCCTCTGTCCACCCTCCTCTGGCTCCATTTCAAGGCCCGGGGCTCAGTGAACATACTGATTCAGCCTCCCAGCAACCTTTCCTGAGACTCAGTCCTGTTGGTTTAGCTTCCCACACTAAGCCCACAGATGCCAAGTAGGCTTATCTTGCCCCAGATGATTCTTGTCACACAAGGAATGTATCTAGTTAGCAAACTAAGAAAAACAAGTATTTATCATGAAAAGCCAAGCATTGTCCTGGATATGGCTGAAAAAGCAGTGCCCAGAAGAGCAGAACTTTGCTCTTGAGAAGGTTCTATTCTTCTCCCTACTATGCAAGGAGTCCATGATGGTCAGCTGTGGTCAGGGCTACAAGATAGAATCAWGCACTGTTGTGTGTGGGGAGGAAGCACCCAGCTTCCCTGGCAAGGAGAAACTTGCAGGAGGAGCTCAGCCTGTTATATCAAAAGAGTTGACCATTGCAGATGCAGCCTGGGAACCCAGGGCAGCATGTGGCCCTGGGGTAGATCACTGCTGCACAGACACCAAGTTAAGGACAGTGGGTTTCCTCTAAGCAACACGGGACCCTGTGCTAATTTCCTAGGTGGTGATCTGAAGCGAAGTACCACAAAAGTGGGTGACTGAAAGGCGATAACTTGGATCCATATGGTGTATTGACATCTCTCCTGAAATGCTGTGCAATCCCTGTCCAGTAYCTTTCACAATTATGAGATGATTTGGGGTGAGGGACTGTGTGGCAGGGGTTGAGGCACCCACCACTTCTCCTGGTAGACTGCCCCTGCCCACTGCCCAGCTCTTCCTTCCCTGCACACAGTACCATGAAGTTGATGTAAAAGGACACTGAGATGTCCCCAGCCTTCTCATGTGTGACTTCTCCAATATTTGCCACCCATCAGTACACAATCCACAGGGAAGGGTTTTGGTCAAGGTGAAAGCTAAAAGTCATGTCTACACTAACTCAAGAGGAGATTCCATTGGCTCAGGTCACGGGGAGTGAGCCTGTGTCCCACTGCAGAGGGAGGCACAGTGCTCTAGGCCTTGGAGAGGATGGAGGTGGGCGCCTGCCCTCATCCTGAGGCCCCACCTCTCTTTAAATCAGCCAGTATTTTGACCTTTGGAACAAGAATTTTATGATACAATTGGTCTGAAACAAATTTATTCAGAAACATCTCAGAAGAATGGGGAAAAGGACGAAGGGTAGGGCAAAGTGTCTCAGGCAGAACAGTCTGACGTCTTCCACAGGTGGAGACAGAGGAGACTCAGGCCCTGGGCTGGCATCTCCTGGCTCAGCTCTGCACTCCTTGGAGCCTCACTGTTTATGGACATGGCACATTTTTTTTCTCTGTCTTTGGAGCCACTTGATTGCTGACATGGCCTGCAGCAGCAGAGGCTTCAGACACAGGTAGCGGTCCTCCTCCTCACCAGCTTCCTGGCATTTCTGTGGCCATGGCCTGGTCCTGTGGGTGTATCTTGGGAGGAGTGGCTGCTGCCTGTCCTGGCCCACCTAACGAACATCGTCCAGGGATTGGATGTCTAGGACCCAAAGTCAGACTGGGAGGCTCCCTGGGAGTGGGGCCCTGCAGGCAGAAAGTGGATAGGAATGGCAGGCAGGCTGGTGCATCTGATGCCCTTCTGGCCTGGCTCGTGAGCCTCCTCAGGCAGCTGAGTGTCAGTGGGCAAGGGGCAGTTGTTCAGGGAAGGCTCACTGGTGCTCCTCTTGGGGAGGGCAGGGCCATTGGAGAGATCCTCAGGGCATGGATGAGGCATGACCTTGGGAGGCAAAGGCTTCCCCTGGAATGTGTACCCTCCCACCTGGCATTTCTGGTGCTGGAGAATCAGGTAGATTGCCAGGGCTACTTGGAATTTTCTCTTGTCCGGAAACACCTAGGTTTTGTATGGATCATGTCAAACAGGATGGTCATGATTGCAGGGTCTGGGTGTTTGTGTTTGGGGAGTGCCTCACTACAGTGATGGGGTACACATGGTTCACCAGGCCTCAGTCTTGGGGGCTGTAAGATTTGCTTGATGATAGGCCCTTCTTGGGGTTCGAATTCAGTATTTTGTGGATGAGCTTTCCTGCTTTGATGGGAACAGAGTAAGGGACAAGTTACCTTGCAAAATGTGCATCATTAGAAGTCCTTTCATCTGCCTCATCACTAATAAAGTCTCCCCAAATGCTTAATTCAAATCACTTGATTTTCTTGTACTGGACCTCAACATTTATACCAAAAGTCTGCCATGTAGATGGTGGGAATGAGGCTAAGCACACAAGCAGTTTCCAATGCTGCTCTGGCATTCAGACTTCTCATCTTAACCTCTTTGCTCCACCAGATTCACCCTTCAGCTCAGACCACAGCACCCTACCTTCCTCACACCTCCTCTGATGTTCTTTCCTTAACAGACTGCCCCCATGTAACAGAAAAGGGAACTTTTGATTCAGAAATGGTGGAAACACAACTGAGCCAAGGTTTGGGAGCACTTGTAGGCAGGGCTTTAATTGTGAAATAAGTAGGACTTCCACTGAAGGGAAACAGCACTGATAGAGGAACCAGACAGCTTCCCTAACAAAGGGAGATGGAAGGTTTAATTGATATGCTGCGGTGGGCTAGCTTCTAGTAGTTTACCACTGGCCCAGGGTGTGGTTCCCGAAACTATTTTTTAAATGAGASTCAGACASCACGTAGTACCAGTAKAATTTTACCAGGATCTGCTGAGTTATGCTTGAAGCTGCCACCATCATCCTGTACAAATGTCCTGTCTTTGTGGCTTGATCTGGGTCTTAGAATAGCACAGAAGGACCTTGGATGCTTGTGCTGCTACAGCTGGTGGAAAAGCACCAGGGTGGCAGAGTAGAAGAAAACACATAGCAGCTCCTGCCACCAATCAGTATGTCTACAAGCAGAGCTGAGTGGAATTGACCCAAGTGCTAAAGCAGCAAAGGGGGCAGAGATTAGTATGAAGACAGAGATAACAAGCCTTTTCATTCCATCCCAGTCACCTATCAGACACCTACGGCAGGCCCAGTGAAGTCAGTGTTTTCAACAGAAGTGGCCCTCAGATCCCTGAAAAGTAACCGAGGCCACCTTTATCATTATAACCCACATCACAGGTGTTAWCTACAGTAAAGCTACTAGGAAACCAATAACGAATTCACTCAGCTGTTTGACCTCCAAAATTAGTGATTTTTAAGTTGACTAGGAACAGGCAAAGCTAGAGGGTTGGGTTCAGTTATTCCCCTAGTAATAATTCCATCTTGTGAAAATATTCAGCTTCTGTTTTCATCAGTCTTGATGATAGATCTGTGTCAAAAGCACACAAGAGTAGAGAAAAATATGCTATGCTACAAAGGGTGACAGTTTATTGTACCCAGGAGTTTGTCATTGTCTCATGTTTTGTCTCCCCAAGTTCTCAAAAATCATCCTATAAACTGATCACACCCCCCTGAAATCCTTGTTCCAAGTGTCCTTATTTCTTCAGAAAATACCCAGAGTGTCATACAGAGGAGGGAGAAGGATGATATTGTTTGATGTGATTTATCCCCACAAAGGTTCTTGTAATGGAGAAGTGGTCCTCAGTGTGGAGATGTTGAGATGGAGGGAAGCTTTAAGAGGTGGGGCCTCTCAGGAGGCAATCAGGTCATGAGGGCACCACCCTTGAAAAAGATTAATGCAGGTCTCAGGCAACTGGGTTAGTTCCTGTGAGAATGGGCTGTTATACGGAAATCTGGCACCTCCACCCTCCACTGGGCACTTATGCATATGCTCCCAACGCTATGATCTGTCACCATGAGTCCCTTGCCAGAGCCGAGCAGAAGCCAGCACCTTGCTCTGGGCCTCCAGAAATGTGAGCTAAAAATCCCACTTTTAAAAAAATTCCAGTTTCCAGTCTCAGGCATTTCATTATAGAAACAGAGAACAAACTAAGACAACAGATGAGTGTGAAACCAGCAAGCCCTTGCTTACCACTCAACTTCCTTTCCTCACCTCAGTCCTAGTTTCTATGTTCCCTGATGCTCACCAATTCCATTCTGTCACCACAGCTTGGGCATCACAGGGAAAGATGACCAGGTGCAGAATGAGCATGAGACTAGCAGCAGTGAAGTCAGAGGGCAACAGTGGAGGTCCTCCCCACCAGTCCTTGAAAAACAGAACCTAGCCCATCAGTTTCTCCCTGTAATGCTGAATGCTACAGCAAGGAACACAACTGTCTGCAGAAAACTTAGCCACTTTTTTTAATAATATGTGCCATGAAGAAATCCACCTGGTATGTAACCACACAGTTGTTGTAAACCACCTTACTGTGAATGGTTAGGTATACCTCTGACCCCTGGGAGCAATTTAACTTTACAAGGCAGGGGGCAGTGTGTGTGTGTGAATATAGCCATTCCCCATCACAACAAAGGAAAGTAGAGATGCACGTGGAAAAGGGACTGACTTCTCACTGGCCCAAGTTACCCACTCTCCCACCTCCATGGAGTCCTCCAGAGAGCTCACAGAAATTTTAGAATTTTTGAGCTTCCCACAGAAGGTTCCTGAGATGAGCCCTCACCCCTTACCCCTCCTCACAGCTTTGCATTCTACTCTAGACTCCCACTAAAAATGAGATGAGATTTTCATGCCACAGAGGAGAAGAGAGAGGCACCACTTATCTTCTTATGCCTGGAGAAGGGCCAATGGTGATGGCAGTTATCTGCCCACAGTGAAGCCACAGGGTCCTTCCCAGCAGAAATGGGGTGGGTGATAGCTGATCCCCGACAAGATTGAATGAACCCAGCAGTCAATATGACCACAGACCCACAGAGAAGGGCAATTTCAGATCCTGGAAAAACATCTCACATGCAAACAGTAGTCAACATGGGTCTCCAAAATGGCCCTTTATTTCTGAATTGTTACACTGCACTGATAAGGTCACTTGGGTCACAGGCACATGGTGGAGTGTCAGAAGAAAAGTGGGTCAGAAGGTGAAAGCAGAGGACTGCACCCAGGGATGATTGCTTCCTCACGGAGAAGAAACTCGGCCGAAGAACAGAATCCCTCTGGTCCTGCTGTGCTGGATGAAGAAGAGGAAGGGGTGGTCTGCGCAGAGGCATGCAGTGAACCTCATGCAACTCATCTTCATGACAGTGGCAGTGGCTGCTGCAGCTTCAGTACCCTCCTCATTGACCTCCACAAAGGACTTGTGCATGACCTTGGACAGATGCAGGTCTCTCCTGGATGACATTCCAGAAAAGTCTGCCCTGACCTCATCGAAGGCATCGGTCATGCCCAGGCTGCGAAGGACTTCCTCCAAATCATAATTTTCCTGTAGTTTAAACCGAGGGAGGAAAACTTCCACTTCAACTTTGTCCATCTTGTCTGGGCTGGTCCACTCTATGTATTTCTCATAAATAAGTTCCTTCTCCACCATAAGGGAGTTGAAACGGTCAAGACCTAGCAAGTTCTGTCACACAGGGCCACATGTGGTTATACACATGTTCCACATTGTCAGTGGGAGCCTTGCTTTGGCCAGAGGTGGTGCTATTGGTAACTGAGGTAACTGGGCAGAGCTCAGGGACAGCTCAGCAGGAGAGCTTGCCTAGCATCTGCAAGATCCTTGTTCCACCTCCAACACAGACACAAACAATACAATTAAATTAAATTTTAAAAAATAAAAAGCTAACTTGGAACGGGGGAAAGCAGCTACACCAGAAACCCAATGCCCTTCCCCTGCCATCACGGCCTCGYTATGGCTTAGTGCTCCTTACCATTTTCAAGTCAATGAGTTCATCGGGCAGCATGATGATCATATTCAGCTCCTCGCTGATGTAGGGAAGGACCAGAATCTTGGTGAATATTTCCCCTATATAGGTCATTTTAAAAGTAGACTTCTGAAACATCATTTGCACAGGCTTCTCCTCATTCTGTAAGGAAATGGACAACTGTTAAGTAGAAACACGACCCAGCTGGCACAGTGGACTAACTCYACAGAGGCAGCCCCTGTGGGCCCCAGGAACACTCTTGACCCAGCTTCTAGGACAGGCCATGAGGTTCCTCCTGAACCCCTGTTATGGTTAGACACCAAGTGTCTCCAGAGGCCAGTGTGTTAAAGGTTTTATCTACAGTGTGGAGCTATTGCTCATTTATTTCTTTACACTCTGAATCTCACTACTTAGCAAATTATGGTGGCTCTACCTTTGAAATACAACCAAAACCTCATCTGCTGTTCTTTCTTCCACTGCCATCACCCTATCCCTGGAATACAGAGATGACCTCAGAGGGATCCCAGTGAAATGTAAATCAGATCACACCCCTCTGACTGGACAMCCTTCCATGACACCCCCTCTCCTAGGAGCAAGATCTGAAGTGCTCAGTACATCCTATAATCACAACAGCTCATCTCCCATTCCTTGTCTCTCCTCACCTCCTGCTACTCTCCCTCTGCTGGTTCCTACACTCACAGGGGTGAGTATGGAAAATCAGGGTCATTCTATCCCTCCCCTGTCCACTCATCCCTAAAACCTAGAGAGTGTAGCCTTTGCCTCTTCCTGGTCTTTACTCAAGTATCACCCTCTYAGTGAATGCTTCCTTGATAGACCTGACCTGCAACTGTACCCCCAACCACAACTTCCTGTCTGCTTCCTTTGTGTATCTGCAGCACTTACCACTGCCTAACAACTACTACTGTCTCATTTAAGCTTCTGATTTCTCCCTCAGGAAAATATAAGTTTCATGAGGTAGACATATTCAGCAGGTCAATACCTGGCACATCATAGGCACTCAGTTAACATCAGCTGAATAAATGAATAAACAAACTGATGAGCAGAAATAGCCAAAGGCCATCCTCAGACCATGAGAAAAAGATAGAGGACAGTAACCACATCCTACCCAACAATACTGCTTAACTCATGAGTACTCCACAGTTTGATACCAGCAGCTACTATGAAGTTGTTTTTAATTCCATGCAACAGGCACAGCTGAGGGAGCTCCCTAGTTCTCTGGCACAGCACACCATTCCGGATCAAATGCAGTAAACCAAAGACATRTCTGCTGTCACTTTCTGTCTCTGCCTTGTCGAGCTTGCCTGAATTAGACCTCAGCCACAGCAGTCTCCTGCCCTTGGTTCCTCAGACATGTCCTTGGCCAGAAATTGGCACACTTTTTCCATAAATGGGCGGACACTAAATATTTTGGCGTTTGTGCTACAGACAATTCCTATCAGAACTACTCTATCCTACTGGTGCGACACATATAAACAAATAAGTATGTGTGTGCACCAACAAACTTTACCTGGTAAACTTGATATAGGCCAGCTTTGGCCCACAGTCCTCAGGGTGCTGACCCCACCTTATTCAGTTTCTCTGTATTCCCCTCCAGGACCCAAGGTCTCCAATCTTATAATAGAAAAGAATCCAATCTTGGTAATTTAATGACTCACTAAATATATAATTATGTAAGCTTTATTTCATTTAGAAATGAGGAATCCAAATGAAAATCCTTATCATCCCGAAACCCATGCTCCTGGACACACCCCTGCCACAGACTCTGTGGGCTGGTACACTCAACTCCTGCTGCAGCTCCACCCTCTCCCTCTACTGCAGAAAGCAAGGTAAAGTTCTTCACTGCTCTGTATCGAGCAGAAGCCACATGACAGCAGTTCTGGTTTCCCTCTGAGTACAATGGCAGAACCTCCAAAGAAGGCCTTTAGCCCTCCATCTTCTGTCCTTCCTGCTCCATCCTGCCTGGACAGTAGAGGCTGTATCTGAGCCCTCCTGTGAGCACGAGGAAGAGGCCACAGGCTGAGGTGGCAGAGCAGGGAGAGCTGGTTCCCAAGAGCATCACACCAGTGCCACATCATCCCTGGGTTCTCCTCTCCTCTGGGCCTCCTGGGTGGTGAGATGAGTTGTGAGCTGAACTGCAGAGATCTGGGGTTTCGGTTGCTTACAGTTGAATGAAGTCCTAAAATACATCTTGTTAAAGATGAATTTCAAGAAGAAAAAAAAAACATATTTTAAGGGAAAACAGGACAGTTCATTTCAGAATACATCTCAACACAAAATGTATGTCTTGGAAAACTGAAGGTTCGGATCCAAGTGGATGAGGAAGATCTAACTTATGGTCAGTGATCAAGAAAACATTAGTCCACCCTGTCTGCTTTGYAGCATATCAAAAAGAAAAAAAACTGTATAATTAAAAAGACTTTTTAAAAATGGACTCTGTGAGAGAAAGACACCAGGCCATCTGCAAACACCTTCCAAGCTGAAGGTGGTTAAACTCAAGAGTCTAATTCTGTGTATGTATCCCTTTGCTCATTTTTAAACAAAAATATGTACTGGTGTTATCCTTATAAACAAAAGAAGACTGAAGATCAGTGATTGGTTCAGTATTTCCTGAGCACCAGCTATCAACTCCTTGATAACTTCCAGCTACATACAGGTCAAGTACTTATATGACAGCCATCTGCCCTGGGATGGTTTTTCAACAAAAGTGAAAAGTCCTTCAACCACTGCTATGTCTTGTGCAGACCAGCAGGGGGCGGAGTGACAGCTTAGATAAAGGGGTAGATACCAGGTGGGGTTTCCAGAAAGGACACAGCAGTTAAGAAAGGAGTGTGAAGTTACTGAAGAAAATGGGGAAGATCCAGGTCCATGAGGAACCTCAGACACCAATTTGGAGTTTGAACTTTATCTCAAAAGTTCTGAGAAGCCAAGAAAGACCTAAAGTTAGCCTGAGAGCTACACCATCAGATTTGTCTTGTAGATTAACACACCAGAGAAAGTATGGCAGGTAACAGTAGGGGGGGCTAAACAGAACCGAAGCCTTGGTGACATATGAAAGGAGGAAACTCATGAGAGAAAGGCCCCAAGGCATGGGGATTCCTTGCTTCAGGGCCACCCCACACCATGCAAGGCACAGGCTCCAAGTGGTGGCCTTCATGATCTAGAAACCAACAAACATAGGCCCTGTGTTTGGGAATCTCCGTTGTTACTATGCAACATTCACCTTGCTGACTTTAAATGGTCTCTCCCCGGTGAGCTCTTTGTCAAACTGTTTATCCCAGTTTCCTTTGAAGTAGATGGCATTCACGAGGACCAGTTTGGTTATTTCATCCAATGAACCTGGAGACAGCAACTCTGTTATTTTATCTGAAAGGAAACATTAAAGAACCAGTTAGATGAGAGTTTTCTGATGAGTGTTTCAGTGATGATATGGAGAGAGACCCACGTCCTCAAATGGTAAAGCACAGAGATAAAGGATCACATATGCCCCAAATAAGATAAATAGATATTTGTCATCAAAAYAAAGCAATATCCCTGRYATTKAAATACATGTTCTAGGAAGAAAAATACCATCATTTGAATAAAACATAAAAGGAAAAAGTAGATATTAGTAAGTGAATTCATACCACATGAGATAGAAAGAAATGATTGGTGCCTACAAATTAAAGAACTAAAAATACTGTTAAAAAGAGTGATTATAAATTTAAACTTAAATGTTTGAGGTGCTAGATATGTTCACCCTGATTTAAACATTATACATAATATATATGCAATGAAGCATCTTGTATAGTTTTGTTATTATTCCTAGTCCAGCATATTGAACAATATTATTTTAATACAATATACATGATTTTGTTATTATAAACTAAAAATATTTAAGATTTTAAAAAGATGAGCTGTTACAAGATGCTTTTTACAAATGTAAAGCACGGTTTAGCCAGACATGGTGGTACATGCCTGTAATCACAGAGGCTTGGTAGGCTGAGGCAGGAGGATTGTAAATTCTAAGTCAGCCTTAGCAACTGAGGCCCTAAGCAKCTTCACAAGACCCTGTCTCTAAATAAAATATTTATTTAGGACAAATATCCCRTTACATTATTTAGGATGTGGCTTGGTATTTAAGTCCCTCTGTTTGAATCTCTGGTACCAAAATTGAAAAAAAAAAAAAAACAAACAAACAAACAAAAAAAAAAAAAACAAAGCACACTGTTTACATTAAAAACCACAGGTCCATGAGGATACCACCAAGCAACTTGCAACAATGCATGAAAACTGGGGAGCATGAGCTCACACTAGAGAGGACACAGCTGAGACCTGTCAGGTGAATTTTCCTTTATGCGATTGGTGAAAAGAAAAAACAAACAACAGCAAAGACATTACAGTGTGGATTGTTCTAGAAGAGGGGTGCTGACTAGGGGGAAATATCATGGATACACTGAGAAGAGCAGGGAAGACCTAGAGAAAATGTCATCAACTGACAGTATTTCAGAAGCAGATTTTTAAAGTCTGAAATTATTTGAGAACAAACACATCATTCCTGTTTATATTTGACAATCCTGTGAAGAAACTGACAATAAGACTGATGTAAATACTATTAAAAACAGAACAACAGGCTGGGACTGTAGCTCAGCGGTAGAGCATCTGCTCATCATGCCCAAGGCCCTGGGTTGGATCCCCAGCACTGCAAACAAAGGAACTAGCAAAGCAACTACAACCCCACCATCAACAGAAACAACAAATAAAAACTATGCTTTTACCTTCTGTCTCTTTAGCTACCCAAATATTTATGTGTTTTCTGGACTCCTCTGAAGCATTCAGAAAGTCAAATTCTTCCATCTCTGCTTGGTAGAAATTCTGGCAGGAATCTTTAAAAGACTAAGGCAGAGCAACATAATTGCATGGTTCCAAAATAATTAACAAATGTACTTCTTTCATGTACCAAAGAAGAAATTCAAAAATGTGCTGATTTAAAGATGTTATTTACAAATAAATACATAGAATGAACATAAAATCAACCTTCTCAGTTTGGGCCATCTTTAATGTCCCGAGTACCAAATAAATTTCATGAATGGCTGGATCTTTATGGGAGTTGCTGAGCCTCAAGAGGTAACTGGGAGGAAGCTGAGCTTCAATAACTATGGAGAGAAAGTTAACCCAGCAAGAGCTACCACTCCTCCGCACTCTGGAATAAGGGATACTGAACACAGAAAGTAGAACATAGGAAAATGAGCCATTCTGCACCWCCCTGCCACCACAACTTCCTGTGATAACAGAAAAATGAGCATCATCAAAAATGGTGTCATAGGTGAATACAAAGCACCTGAGATCAGTGCAGCTGCAGAACTGAATATTGTCTTTTATTTTATTTTGATTAATTACATGTGTCTAGAGATTGCCAGTGCTGCTGAATATCTCAGTTCGGGGTAGTAAGCAATTCTCAAAAAACGACCAGGGTTATGATTCAGAAAAAGAAGTTCAAAGTGTTTTACTAATAYATCCTATGAAATGATAATGACATTGATGAACACATGCATTCTACCATGTTAAAATAAGAAAATTTGTGGAATATTTAAGTGTCCTTAAAACTCATTACATTGGCAATGCACTATGAAATTATTTCCTAATCTTCCTTTTGAACAACTTACGGCTCCATATTTGATTTCTCGTTATTAGGCAAGATTTCACATTTCTCCTTCAGTATTGCACAGACACAGGTGTTAGGAACACAAGTTTTTTTTTTTTATTTAATAGCTGAGTGGCCTTAAAAAGGTTAATTAGTGTCTCTGCCTCTTGGTTTGCCCTGTAAATGAGACAGCACTGGCTGTATGAAGCTCCCAGAGTTACTTTGAGGCCCAGCTGAATTACTTTCATTATTACTACTTTATCCAATGTTACTGAATTCTCAACA